GGCAGGTCTTTCAAATCACCGAAGAGAACGTGTACGTGCTCAGCCTAGAGGAAATGCAAACGAACCCAATGCCAGTACCGGTAAAGATGGCTTTGAACGAGTTTTTACTGTGCAGCGAAGAAGCCATCGGTAAGAATGTTGCACCTGTTGGCTCAATGCTCATTTCTTTCATTTCAGCAAACCCCACTGACTGGCAGCAGATGATGGTCTACGGAGTGGCCGCTTTTTTAGTCATCGTAATTTTCGTTCTCTGCTATCTCATTCTCACTGACAACTCCAAACATGAGCCGGGCCGGGCTCACACCAAAGAACCTTCTCCAAAAAGTCGTAAAAGCAGCTCGCGTAGCCATTTTTGACTAGCATGAAAATGCGATACGATTAAATGCACAGAGAAAACTGTTTTTAAGCACAAGAGACAACTAGACATTTTAAATGACTTTGTGAAAGCGAGAAAGGGTGTGCATTTTGCTTTTCTTGCTGCAACTACTAGTGGCAAGCAAGTCGGGTTTGTTGTGTTTTAGTGGGGTAACTGTAAAGTTGGTAAAGTTGTTGTTTGCCGTCAGGGAAATGCGATTTGTTGGTGCTCGATTTGTGGTCAACAGTGCACGGTTGTTGATGCCAGGGAGAGACGCTTCGGCAGTTGACGGCAACAGATATTGTTTGAAGGATATTGGAGAATAAGTCTTCAACGCTTTGTTTGGCGGTTGCAATTGATAGGGCATTTGAGTTAGTCGACGCAGCGGTCGAGATTTGGCGGAATCAACGGTATTCAGGTTTGGCACATTGGCAGAATGATGACAGTCGCAGAAGCGTTCATCAAAGACTAGCTTGGTCGCTGGATTTTTGCAGCTCGAAATGTCCTCTTTCAGGCAAAGATCATTCTGCGAGTCCATCACATTTTCATATTCATTTTCATCAATGATGACAAATCGAGCTTTATGAACAGGAGTGTTGGGTTTTTTTGGTACTGAGTAGTGGCCTTCGTTAGCAGAAGGTACATTTGCGTAAATATTCTCAGCAATTTGTTCTACTGGTTCATTTTGTTTCCGCTTTTTCTGGGGAGTGCAAATAAAGTTCAATTTCGATTTATCACTAGTCATAATGTCGGCAAGGAATTCATCAGTGGCGCTCTCATTGCTGAAACTTAAATCATTGATGTCAATATTTTTCGCTTCGTTAGCGTACAAGTGGTGGTCGGCATTTATCTCTTCTGCAACTCGTTTGGTTGGCCTAATTTTGGCAAAATGCGGCATCTCAATGACAAAAGAACTACATGATTGAGGTAGTGAATTTGCTTTAGTAGTTGCTGATGATGTTTTTTGGCAACCGTACTCGGCAAACTGAATCGATTTAATGGTGATGCCATCCTCGCTCAGGTCATGTATGTCCTCAAGTTTGATGTACGTTCTGAGACTGCTGAGATAGCTGACGTAAATGTTGCAATGATTCAACTCAAAATGTGGATCCTTGTGCAGATTTATTTGGCCATTGTCGGTGTGCTAAACAAAAGATAGAGTTAAAGATATGTCAATAGGAACAAACAAAATTACCAGTTCAACGTCTTGCCAGGTGATGCCGAGACGAGCCAAAATTGATTTGACTGTTGTGTAGGCAGACTTGGTTGGCAGTGCCTCCACTGTGATGAGATATCTTTCAGGAAAGTGCATTGTAAAGTTGACTGGTAGTGGTTTACACTTGGCAATTTTCATAAAAGAAGGAGAAGTGCGGAAACGAGTAAACGAATCAGACTGCATCAGCTGAAATATTTGGTGCATTGCCATGTCAAACATGTTTTGGTGTGGCTTTTTTAACGAGTCCTCAATCATTTTTCTCGCCTGGTGGTCAATGTTGACCGAGTGAGTTCCTTTCAGATGTATGTACTTGTTGTATATTTCTTGACAACATTTTTTCATCTAAACGAAACTTTGTGTAATTTTTGTTGTTGTTGTAAAAATTACTAACCTCCTTTTTGTTGTCCATTTTTTTAAACTCGTTACACCTCAACCAAAACTCCAAATTTTCATGACTAAACTCGGTTTTCAAAAATTCCTAAACGACAATTGAAATGATACAGGCTTTTGGGGATCATGATAATTACCTTGAAACATGATAGTCTTTGCTCGTCTCGGAGCACGTCTTCTAGTTCCATTGTAAATAGGTGAGAAATATCAACAAAGTAAAAATGTCAAATGTGCACATTTCTCTAGGGGCCTAGGGCCGGGTAAATAAAACTTTGTGACGGTTGGCAGCAACGGCTTTTAAAATGTGCTTTGCGTGCAGGGAAGCTTTTTAAAAAAGAAGGCTCGTTTCACACGGTGCTAGTTTTAAGTTGTGAATAATGTTGGACTCAAATGGTATAAAGTACAATTTATTCTACGAGACATGAGCAAACGTTGTTGCCTATTCTTGCTGTTTTAAACCTTTGAATTGAAACGGACAATTATAAAAGTCATGTTGTCCTTGCCTTTCACTCCTGAAGTTGGCATAATATTGGGCAGTATGTGGTGTATCATCTCCTCGGTGATTGAGGCGAGTTGCTTCTTCATCTTGAGTCGCTGGTCGACAAACTCGACGACTGAACTTGAATCCATGCTGTTCCAAATGCCATCGCACATGAGAACCAGAAAGCTGTCGGTGCTCTCGTTGAACGGCTCGACGACAACTTCGGGCAGAGCAGTCATCATTTGCTCCAGGGGCGACATGCTTGAATTGGCCTTGAACATGTGATCACCGAATGCACGAGACACGTTGATTTGTCGGTTGATACGGCCACTGGAAAGAAAAGGGTAAATGTGGCATAAAAATGAGAGAGAGCAATACTCAACTGGACGACTACTCCACCAGCATTGACAATGCGCTGCTCTTCACCCTGTTCCTCTGGCTTATTGTCCACCGACAGCGGAAAGGCCTGTCCACTGCGACAGAGGACGCAGCGACTGTCCCCGATTGAGGCACAGTAAAAGAGGCCCTTCTTGAGGAGGCAAACGACCGCCGTGCAGCCTGAGGTGATACCAGGAGAGTTGAGCGGCAGCTCCGGGTGCTTTTTACTGCGAATCTCGACCAACTCCTCCATGGACTCCTTCATCAAGATGGAGTTGTCCAGCAGCATAAACGCCTCCTTCAAGCCCTCAACAATGTCGATTCCATTTTGGTACTTTTTGTTGGAGAGAATGTAGTCGGGCAAGTACTTGCTACAGAAGGAGGCCACTTCGATGCCGTTGTGCCCGTCAAACACTGCAAACAGCGAGGAATCGGCTTCGAAATTAGGAATGACCAAGTGCACGTCCTCCATTGTGTTTCTCCACCCTTGGCAACTGCTCGCAGCATATTCAAAGTCTGAGGCAGTACCAGTGACGGTTTGAATTGAACGAATAGCTTGATCTAAGTAGACGGTAGCCATGTGTTGTTCATTAGTTGACCAAAAAACTGATTTCAACAAACTTTTAAGCTCGACTCGACAATAAAATGTTCGAATTTAAAAAAACTCTAAATGGTCTTTTTATTGGTAAAATCTACCTCAGCAAGAATGGTACACTTTTCAAAGATGATCAGAATGCAGACATTGGCCATGAGTCGACTGATGGTTAAACCATANTTATAAAAAAAACTCTAAATGGTCTTTTTATTGGTAAAATCTACCTCAGCAAGAATGGTACACTTTTCAAAAATGATCAGAATGCAGACATTGGCCATGAGTCGACTGATGGTTAAACCATACAGAGTGAATGTTTCCCAAGTTGGCGGAACACCGGCAGGAGAAAATTGTTCCAAGAAAAAGTTGTTCAACTGAATAATTTCAATCAACAGAAAAATAATGTTGGAAACAAACAGTTTTATGTAAGCGTTGAAGCTTCTTGTCTGGAATACTTTACACACAAAGCAAACGGTAAAGTAGAGGTGCCCAAGGGAATACATTGTTGACCAAAAGAGTCTGGCAGAAGACAAAGGCCATTTGGAGCTGCTGAAAGGCAAGAAGTTACACAGGATTTTTGACTAGAGTTAGTTTGTTCCACAACTCACCTATCACTGAAACGAACGCAGCCTAACCAGGTAAAGTAGATACAATTCACAAGCAGCTGCCCAATGACAACCAGTCGCAAAGTCCAGTAGGCATTTAGAGTGAGAACACGAACTTGAATGGGATTTTGCTTTTCAAAACCAAGTGTTTTAAGACGCTTGATCTCTTGAGTTTGAAAGTTCTCTTCCGATTCGTATTCTGTTGCGAAAGATTGAAAAATATTTTTTTCTATTGAGTTTACACTTTTCTGCATTTTACAAAATGCACATGTTAAAATGTGTGAACGATTTAATACTGAGCAAAAGTTCTAACATTCAAACAATTCAGTATAACAATGCGTAGTTTTACCTGTAGTTTGTTCTAATTAGAATTATCACTCATTTTAGCGTTTTTTGCCGGGAACCTTTTATTTCCGAGTATCTTTGGCCTAGTTGTTTGCGAGTACCACTGTTGGACTCGCAGTGCTTTGATACGGGTATCCAGCTACTTTTTGTGTCATGTTTTTGTGGCATGTTTGCCAACTTGGCAACGTTTGGCCATTTACTTGGGTGAAATCACACTGGTCAATGATAATTCAAATATTTATCTTTTCAGCGAAACTTTTTACTGATACACACTTTTTAAAAGTTTTCCTCAGGAGACCATTAAATGCGATAATCCTAATCCCAAGGCCCGATTGCCTGGAAAATTTTTGTTGTGATAAACTTAATTTTTGTTGGTTTTTCTCCAAGTATAAAAGGTCATTTTTAGTCAGTTTTTTTTGGAATCATTTCAGCGATAGGCATCACCTGTTGCAGACGTGCATGCTACCTTAATCCAGTGCCGTTCTTTGCGAGTTGCTCTTTTCAGTGCGATCCCGCCCTTGAAGAAATTCTCCGAGGACGCCAGTGTAGCTGCAGTCACATGTGCGCCTAGCTGCACGTGCCAGTTACTTTTTGCAGCCTGTTGATCACCGCCTTTTCCAAAACACTCAATTTCCGCCATGAAAGATTCGCTGCGTTCCATCGTTCGCCGCCTGTACGAGTGCAACGCCCTCAAGTTTGGCCGCTTTACCCTCAAATCGGGCATTGAATCGCCCATCTACATTGACCTTCGCGTGATCATCTCCCAGCCCGATTTGCTGATTGACATTTGCAAGGAGCTTCACCACGTGATTGTCGGCAGCGGGGCCAAGTATGATGTCATCTGCGGCGTGCCGTACACGGCTCTGACGCTGGCCACGGCAATCAGCACTCTTTACCCACTCAGTTCGCCAATGGTGATGCGACGAAAGGAGATGAAAAACTATGGCACAAAGCAGCTGCTGGAGGGCATCTACCAGCCGGGACAAAATGCACTCATCATTGAGGACCTCATCAGCTCGGGCACTTCCATTCTCGAGACGGCCCTGGTTATCCAAGCGGCCGGTCTCCACGTGTCGGACGCTGTCGTCTTTATCGACCGTGAGCAGAATGGCATCCGCAACCTCGAGTCGTACAATATCAACGTGCACTCGGTGGTCAAGCTGAGCGAGGTGATGCACTTTCTCAACGAGTCGGGCTTCCTGCCTGACCAGCAGTTGTCCCAGGCAATGGACTGGGTTCGCGCCAATCCATGTCACATTTCACAAGTTGTCAAGAATGACGTTGAGCTGGCCAAACTGGAAAAACCCAAGCCCCTCTGTCACGCTGCTCGAGGTCGATTGGCCACACACCAGCTGACAAAACGACTCTTTAGTCTCATGGAGCAAAAAAAGAGCAACCTCTGCGTCTCTGCCGACCTGACCAGCGCAGCAGACATTCTCAAGTTGGCCGACCTGGTTGGCCCGTACATTGTCATGCTAAAGACGCACGTTGACATTATCGAGGACTTTTCACAGGATTTTGTGCATCAACTCTCCCAGCTGTCTGCCAAGCACGATTTTGTGCTCTTTGAAGACCGCAAGTTTGCCGACATTGGAAACACTGTCGCTCTGCAGTACTCAAAAGGCGTCTTTCACATTGCTGACTGGGCCCACCTGGTCAACGCACACCTTTCACCGGGTCCAGCGCTGGTACAGGCGTTGAAGGCAGAAGCCGCCAAGCAGAGTGAACCTCGAGGCTGCATTCTGATTGCCCAGCTAAGCTCAGAGGGCAACCTGGTGCCGCCCGAGTATGCCCGAGAAGCCTACAAGTGGGCCAACCAACAGGCCGACTTTGTCATTGGCTTTATCAGTCAGAAAAAGATTACACATGACCCAACGCTGCTGTGCTTTACTCCAGGCGTCAAGATTGTGGCTAGTGATGGCCAGGCTGGTGGTGACGGTCTCGGTCAACAGTACAACAGCCCTGAACATGCCATCATCAACAATGGCGCAGACGTCATCATTGTGGGACGAGGCATCATTTCGCTCCTAGACAAGCCAGATGAGCTGATTTCTACTGCAGATTTGTACCGAAAGCGAGGATATGATGCTTACCTCGAGACTCTGGAAAATTGATAATCTTGTTGTCGTTTGAGCAAGCACAAACAAAAGTGTACTCAATTAATAAAAAATCAATCGAAACTAGTGCTGACTGAGCACATTTTGTTTGTAGTACGACACTACGACGTATCCTTTTGCTATGCGGCAGCACAATCATCCAGTTTGCTAGCTGGTGCTATACAACTTTTTGTTCATTTCACAAATCAAGATTGTCTACAATCTTGTTACCAATCTTGCTAAAAATGCGATTCTTCTTGTCCCTTGGGCCTCCTGCAGTTTGCTACCCTCCCAGGTACCGATGCTACTGCCGAGGCCGCCTCTTTATGTGCTCGATTTTTTGCCGTCGATGCCGTGGTGTGCCACTTGTTATCGTTGGACAGCCCGTAATGGGGCCCACAGTGGTCATCAACAGCAGCCCTTGTACAACCACAACCACAACGGTTTACAGGTGCTGAGTATGCTGGCAAATTTGATTTGACGCATTTAATTTGTGTTTTTTTTCAGATATTGATTTTACTTTGGTGAACCAACTTGATGTGATCTATTTTTTGTAACAAAAATTCGAATAAAAAATTCCAAATAATTAAAATTTACAAATATAATCAACAACAAGTAAACGTTTTCTTCACTTGAACTAGTGCCCAACTTGCGTGTTATTGTTTTTAAACTCCACCTTGTCCAGTTTTGCCAATTCCCATGACCACCCCAAGCCGCCAAGACAGTCCGCCGCCGGGCAACCCGGCCCCTTCCTCAGTGAGCGACTCGATCAAAGAGTTTGCTGCCAAGNAAAATTTACAAATATAATCAACCACAAGTAAACGTTTTCTTCACTTGAACTAGTGCCCAACTTGCGTGTTATTGTTTTTAAACTCCACCTTGTCCAGTTTTGCCAATTCCCATGACCACCCCAAGCCGCCAAGACAGTCCGCCGCCGGGCAACCCGGCCCCTTCCTCAGTGAGCGACTCGATCAAAGAGTTTGCTGCCAAGCTATTCAAAGTTTTTGCCAGTCGTCACCAGACCGACTCGAAAAACATGTGCTTCTCACCGCTTGAAGTGTTCAACTCACTGGTCATGATACTCGTCGGCGCCAAAGGCACCTCGGAGGCTCAGCTCGAAGAGACACTCTGTCTGCGCAACTTCAACTGCCAGGCCAAGTTTCAGGAGCTGATGGACCTGCGCGAGTGGATCATCAAGAGTAACCACGACATTATGGTTTACGGAACCTTTATCTACATTGATGACCGCGTCCAGATTCAGCCCAGCTACCTGTCCAAGCTCAAGGACATTTTTGAAATTAAACCAAAACGCGTTAATTTCAGCAACCTCGAAGAGGCTGTCAAGATTATCAACAAGGACGCCCATGAGATTACCGACGGCGTCATTCGCAATGTCATTTGCATGAACGACATCAAGGGTGACCCCAATGTGCGCCTGGTCATTTCCAATGCCATCTTTTTTCGCGGGTACTGGCACTTTAAATTTGGAGACATTCACAAGGAGGACTTTATCTATTCAAAGGGCACCAAGTCTGCCAAGGTGGACATGATGTCTCACGTCGGCTATCACCGCTTTTTTCGTTGTGAGGAGCTAAAAGTGCAAGCAGTCTCTATTGCGTACGCTGCCAGTGAGATTCGCATGGTCATTCTGCTGCCTGATGAAATCAACAGCGAGGTCATTTACCTCATTGACAAGCTGAGTGCCCTCAAAATGACCGAACTTTTCGGACAGCTGCAGTCACGCCCCAAATCGCTCACCGAGCTGATTATTCCTCGCTTCGCTCTGGACGCTCACAAAGTGTCACTGCAGCGATCGGTAAAGCAGATGGGCGCCAAATCCATCTACGACAATGATGCCGCTCAGCTGACTGGCATTGCCAGCGACCGCGTTCACCTCACCAAGCTCGTCCACAAGGCTTTTATTCTGGTGGATGAGCGTGGCTCACACACTTCTTCGGCTCGCCAGGAGGAGAGTCTCTTCAAGGAGTCGCTCAGTCTNTTTCGCTCTGGACGCTCACAAAGTGTCACTGCAGCGATCGGTAAAGCAGATGGGCGCCAAGTCCATCTACGACAATGATGCCGCTCAGCTGACTGGCATTGCCAGCGACCGCGTTCACCTCACCAAGCTCGTCCACAAGGCCTTTATTCTGGTGGATGAGCGTGGCTCACACACTTCTTCGGCTCGCCAGGAGGAGAGTCTTTTTAAGGAGTCGCTCAGTCTCTCTGACCAGGCTCTTTCACCGGTGGTTTTCAAGGCGAACCACCCCTTTGTCTTTGTCATTCTCGACAAGGACACGGGCGTCATTTGCTTCATGGGCGTCGTCGCTGATCCACGCGAAATGCTCGAAGTGGTCAACGAAAAAGACCTCAGTCGGGAGGAGATTCAGAAGCTTCTCGTCGAAGAGGACAGCGACTGGACCTCGGAGAGCGATGGAGGCAGCAGCGCCGAGCCGGATGACTACTGAAAACACGGTCAACTTGGGGAGCCACTCTTCCTACCTCATTTTGCCAATTCATCTAATCTTTTCATTTTTGTTTTTACAATTTGTTCAAAAAATTGTCAACAATTGGATATTTGGCTTTTTCATACACTATATACCCAACTAAATTTAAAACAATTTTATTAAAAACAGTTAATTTTACAGTTATTTCTTTATCCACTCAGTTTCCAGCAACCGCTCAATTTCCTTACAAGCTTGAGCTTTGCTATTATCCTCCTTGATTCTTTTGGCAACATTTGTCAGTTTTTCCTGCAGTAAATCATCGTTAATTAGCTTATCAATTGCATTCAGTAGGGCGTTCTCTTCAAAGTTGACCTCCATTCGTAAACCGAATCCTTTCTCCTGAATGCGTTGACTGTTGTCAATTTGATCAGAGAACAAAGGAAGCACAATGATTGGTTTTCCAAAGCACACACTTTCACAGACAGTGTTGTTCCCTCCATGGGAAATGACCAGTTGGCAGAGCGGCAGAATTCGAGTTTGTGGCAAGAAGGCCTCTCCCCAGCAGTTGTCTGGCAGTGAATACTCATCAGCGCGAACTCCTTTTGAAACGATGCACTTGTATTTGGTTTTCTCAATTACGCGCAAAATTCGTTTCATCAGATTGATTTCAACTATAGAAAAAAAAATTTCCGTTAAGCATTTATAGAAATTCAACCAAACTACACTTACTGCTCCCCATCGAGCCCATTGATAGGTAAATAATCTTTCCAGGTTTTTTCACAAATGATTCAGGAAGCTCAAATGTAGTGTCAAAAGTACTGTTTTCCCTGCAAAAAGCATCAACGCGAATGGTTTTGGGTGGGATGGGAACAATGTCGTCGTAGTCCAACTCCTTTGGAAAACCGTACAAATTGAGGTAGGGGCTTTTGTGAAAAAAATGTTGCGCTCTATAGTTGCTTCATGAGCAGTTGGAGTGTAGTTNGACAATGTCGTCGTAGTCCAACTCCTTTGGAAAACCGTACAAATTGAGGTAGGGGCTTTTGTGAAAAAAAATGTTGCGCTCTATAGTTGCTTCATGAGCAGTTGGAGTGTAGTTAAAGTGCTGGTACAGTTTTGTTTGATAGTGTTGAAATGGTTCACGAAGTGTTTTGTTGACCGCAGCAAAGAATTCATCCCACGTTGATGGGTCACTACCTGTGTGATATCCAGATCCGTAAGGTGGCAGTTTTGGAGAATTGTACAGTCCGAGAGGATTACTTGAGTACAAATGAATCCACGGAATTTTTGACTTTAATACCGCAGGCGGAACTACAAAAAACATTTTGTCATTAACTTATTTTTCAAATTAAATTACAATATACCTAAAAAGTGATCGAGAATAAAGCAATCGGGTTTCTCTTCGAAAATGGCCTGCTCAATTTGTGGATTAAAGTCCACTGTCGAGTCGTAAAGATTAATCATAAATGAATGATCTTCACTGTAATCTTGAATCTTTTGCAATGGTGTTTTGCCGTTTAAAAGGTCCATTTTAAGAATCATTTCAGCAAACACTTTTACTGGGTTAACTGTAGCTTCTTTTTTCTTTAAAGTAGACCGCGTCAAAATCTTTTCAGTTAGGCCATACTTGGAAAACTGTCCTTGACTGGCCATGTTTACCAAAACTACCACTTTGTGACCACGAGACAGTAAGGCTTGGCTAAAACCAATGAGAGCATTGATGTGGCCACTGCCATCGAGGCAATGAACAAAAAATTTGCGGCCATTTTGAAATGACATTTTTTTCAAAAAAAAATTTTGTTAATTAATTGTGATAGTTAACACATTGCATCTGCCTAACAAATTGCAAATTTATATACAGACAAAAATGTACTTTATTTGTCAGTTAGGGTTGCACTCAGAGTTGTCTAATCAAGTTAAAGATGATGCTTACATGACAAATGGCTTACATTTTTTAGTTGCAAAACTCGATCATTTATTTACATTGACATACAAAGATGAGCAAGTAGAGAAACTTTTGAATCAAAACCACAAAAATTTGGTAATATTTGTCTACATTTAAGAATAATTATAAACTGTCTTGCTTGTTACAAACTGCTTACATTTTATAAATATACTGAATACAGTTTTTCTCCGTTTTTGTTTTACAATGTACCATTTTAATAACAAAAGAATTGCAATATTGCCTCAAAACTTTAATGTTTGTTAATAGTTGCTCACAGTACCAAGTTTCATTTGTTGGCGACTTTAGATTTCTTTTTGCTTTTCCTTCCTTTGTTTTTTGAGCAATTGCACTTTGGATTACAGTTGTGGTCGTATTGCTTTGCAAAGTTGTCTATTCGCAAGTTGAGAGCTTTCACCACGTAGCTGGCCATTTTAGGCTGTTGCTGCTGCAGTTCGACCATATTTGTCTTTTTGGTGCTTTTAGGTCGAGCTGATTTGACCTGTTGAGAAGAAGCTTTCGTTTTCTTTGACACTGCTCGTTCCTTTAAGGTTTTCTGCTGTGTTGCACTTTTCTTGTTTTTAACTGGGTTGTTTTTGCTAACCACATTTTTGTCTTCTTGATCACAGGTACCATTTGCAGGTGATCCTGGTGATGTACTACCGACCACCTTCATATCACGATGAAATACTGGAACATAGTCAGGTGGTGCAATCAAAATCGTTTCTTCTGTTGGTATTCGAGACGGCAAACAGCTGCCTTTCTTTGCCGCCCCTTTATTTGACTTTTTTGTCTTGCTCTCTTTGATCGCGTCAGTGGATTTTTGGGTTTTACTTATGCTCTTGCTGCTTGCTGGTTTTGAAAAACTTGACTTTTTACTCTTGTCACCCATTAGTCAGGAAAGGTTAAACTGGTTTGAACAAACTTTAAAAACAATGTGACGGTTGTTTAATCAGGTAACAAACAATTCTAAAATAGCGGCTAAATTCTAAATCAGTACTTTTATTGAACAAGACACATTGTCGGAACATATAAAGGCTTTTTTAATGATCGTAAATCTTGAAAATCTACGTCGGTTGGTGGATACTTAAACGGAATTTCTCCAAAATTGTAGTAGCATTGCTGGTACACTGATAGTTTGACAGAGGGAAAGTATGGTGTGTTTTCACTTGCAACAAGTGATTTTAAATTGGACGCACCTGGCAAACCTGACTTGGTAATTTCATGTTCAATAGGGTCGCCGTTTACATAGAATACAACTCTATCTTGTTCTCGTGTTCCAATATCAATCAAACAGCCAATTACATCGCCTGTTTTCCACTTTTTTAGTTTTGGCATTGTTTCAAGAACAGACATTTTTTCATCATTTTGAACCACTACTCTGTTATAGCCATCGAATCCGATAAACGTTATTTTTCTATGACAACATGAGGAACTATTTAGTGTTCCCCATCCTAGAAACATTTGTCCGTCAGTTAGCAGAAGAACTTCGTAATAGAAAATTCCTTTAGAAATAAGAAACTCGTTCATGTGAACTTCGTTCCATCCGTAGTCACTTCGAATAGATAGGTTGCTACTAAAACGCTTCAGTTGTTTTGCTTTTTGAGGGTCATTGCTAGCTGCATCGTGAAGAAGTTGCTCGAGAAAAAGGCAAGCACAGAAAGATACTTGAAATGTGAAATAATCAAAGTCATCGTGGAACAGTTTCAAGTCAATGTCAGGAGTGCACTGAAACTTCAAAAGCACGTTTAGTGTTTCTCTCAGTCGAGCATTTTTGCGCAGTGTACTTAAAGTCGATTTTTCAACAGCTAGGTTTTCGAGCGTGATAATGGCAAATAGTCTTGATTGAGCATCCTGTGATTCAACAAGTATTTGAACAAGAAAAGAATTTAAGTTTTGGTAAAATTGTAAGCGAGTTTGGGAATCAGCGATATTGACAGCAAACATGGAGGCGACAATGCAGAGATTGCGATGTTTAAGAATGTCTTTACAGTCAAAGTAGTATTTTAAAAGATCAAATAGTTCATCTTTTTGATGGGAATAGAAAATCTGATTGATAGANGTTTTTCAACAGCTAGGTTTTCGAGCGTGATAATGGCAAATAGTCTTGATTGAGCATCCTGTGATTCAACAAGTATTTGAACAAGAAAAGAGTTTAAGTTTTGGTAAAATTGTAAGCGAGTTTGGGAATCAGCGATATTGACGGCAAACATGGAGGCGACAATGCAGAGATTGCGATGTTTAAGAATGTCTTTACAGTCAAAGTAGTATTTTAAAAGATCAAATAGTTCATCTTTTTGATGGGAATAGAAAATCTGATTGATAGACTCAAAGTGATCGAGAATGGCAATAATGACGTGCTGAATTTTTGACTCGCTGCTAATGCTGTACAAAATGGTAGAACCTAGTTGATCGATAATTGCCTGAATTAGTCGGAGAACTCGCGATGAAGTTTCTTTTTCTTGAGTACTGTCCAGAAAAGATTTAAATTTGCAAAACAATGGTGAGTTTTTTGCCGAGTATGTGTCATTCTTNTACAGTCAAAGTAGTATTTTAAAAGATCAAATAGTTCATCTTTTTGATGGGAATAGAAAATCTGATTGATAGACTCAAAGTGATCGAGAATGGCAATAATGACGTGCTGAATTTTTGACTCGCTGCTAATGCTGTACAAAATGGTAGAACCTAGTTGATCGATAATTGCCTGAATTAGTCGGAGAACTCGCGATGAAGTTGCTTTTTCTTGAGTACTGTCCAGAAGAGACTTAAATTTGCAAAACAATGGTGAGTTTTTTGCCGAGTATGTGTCATTCTTTAAAACGGAACATTCGAGCGCATTGAGAAATTCCTCAAACTGCAATTGCAATTCATCGGTGAAACGCATAACGGAAAGATTCTTAATAAAACATTAACTTTGGATATGGACTGGAAACAAAATAGTGATTCAGCAATTGGCATAATGCCTAANCTTTTTCTTGAGTACTGTCCAGAAGAGACTTAAATTTGCAAAACAATGGTGAGTTTTTTGCCGAGTATGTGTCATTCTTTAAAACGGAACATTCGAGCGCATTGAGAAATTCCTCAAACTGCAATTGCAATTCATCGGTGAAACGCATAACGGAAAGATTCTTAATAAAACATTAACTTTGGATATGGACTGGAAACAAAATAGTGATTCAGCAATTGGCATAATGCCTAAACAACTACCGTTGCCTTAGTAACCAGAGATAAGCTCATTTTTGATAAACGTTTCCAAACATATCAATACGTATTTGAATTTTTATAGCATATTTAATCAAGTATTGACCATTTTGCAAGTAATTTTGGTAGAAAATCAAAAGAAAGCACACATCCTAGTACATTATTGCGTTGATGCGCCTAGCATACTAATGTGAAGCATCGTTCTGATTACTGATTACTTTTATCGTGAGCAGAATTACCCTGAGTAAGGAAATCAAGTAAAAAGAGCAGTAATAAATGCGCAGTCACCTGACTGTTTCAGTTGTTATCCGTCAAATGCTCTTTGGCATCGTGATTGATCACTCGCTAGAGTCGTTGAACATTAACAAGCAAACTGCTAAAAGTCCTCATTTTTATCTAGCATCTGTCAATCATTCGGTCTCATCGTCTGTCAATAAAACGAAGCGCTAGCAGTGTTAAACTGCCGGTTTTGGCAGTTTGAGCCTCATATAAAAGCAGATGTACACGACTATTTAATCTTTTGTTTGAAATACTACATTACTTCAAAATGCAGCCACAAATGTTTTATGTTTTTCTAGTTTTGTGGGTATTTGTGGCAAGTGTTTCAGCCAGTTGTCGTTATGATTCAGATTGTGGCCCAGCTGCCAGTGGCTCAAAGTGCTCAGAAAATGGTGTCTGCCTGGTGCCGGCAGAATGTCAAAGACATCGCGACTGCCTTCGAAAAGGTTAGTTTTACTGGATTTATTTGCTAATCTAAATTTATTGTTTAAACAGGCCTTTACTACAAATGCGAAAATCTTCACTGTGTAGTGTCAAAGGTAAAAAACTTCATTTGCTTGTTTATGCTCTTTTAATTAATTTTTATAACTTTTAGCATAAAATTTGCCGATCTGATGAAGTAAGAGAATTTTTGCGATTGCAGAAATACTAATTAATTTACTTTTAATAGGACTGCAAGAAAAATCTGATCAACACCAAATGCATTAATGGTAATTTAATTGAACACTAAATTTAGCTAGTTAATCACAACCATTTTCATTCTTAGACGGATGCACAAACACCATTTTTAGTTAAATCTCAGGTTTTATCAACAAGTCCATTGTATTACCACAAATCTACATTATTTGTTGCCTAAATCTGTATTCATATTGCAGTTTTGAATGCAACATCATGGTAGTAACCTGGAGCGTGACAAGTACATTTTTTCAATAACATGTCGACAAATAAACATTTGTTAACGCATTACTGGAAACTCCAAAAGAGATTATCAATTCAATAAAACTTTTGAGTGACATTATTCAAACTGACAATCGACAATGATCGACAAAAAGCTTGCGCAGTTATCGACCACTAGAACGGCAATCGCTGAAATAATCGCCGTGTTACCTGCCTGAATAGCATTTTTTGTTGTTGCCATGTGCTAAAATTCCATAGAATTAGCAAGTGGCGCAGTTGGACACAGAAACAAACCCCCCGTTTTAGGCGGACAGTCCGATAAGGTAGCTTTGTG